GTTAATCATGTCAACAGTAGATAATAGTGAGTCGGCCAGACGAATGCACGGACCAGGGAGAACGCGTTTGCTGTGTCGCAGAGGAGTGGAAGAGGACGTGGCAGCCGCTGCCCCTGTCACCTTGGCAGCCAGGCGGTTTTTCTGTTGGAATCTGAGAAGAAGGGGTGGAGTTTTTACGTTTGAGAGCCTGTCTCACCAAAACTGGGCTGTGACCCTGATGGATTTGCTGCGAAAGGTGTGGCTTCCCCCCTCCTCCCCCTTTGGAGGGCCTGATCTACTCAATGGGCTGAAGAAAAGTACCCAGTGCTGCCCTCTCCTGCAGGTGATCAGAATTTACTCATTTGAACCTTTGTTCTAAGACATTGTAACACCGCTTTAGACAGCAGGTCGATGGCATTTAAAAAAAAATGGCATATGCTTTTATCTTCACTGGTGATGGAGAGATCCTTTGTCCTTTAATAAAAAAAAGCAGAGGGGAGAGAGTCCCTCCATGGTGGTAGTGCATGTTATCACTACAAAACGTGAAGGCAAAATTTCCTGAGAATCGCTAGCCAAGCCAGGCATGAGTTTTCAGGGTAGGCTTGAGAGTAAAGCAGCTGCTAGACTGGGTTGAGGAAAGCTAACAGGAGCCCTGTGACTACTATCCCTGGTAGCCACTAAGCAACCTACCTCAGCCTCTCTTCTCTTTTGTCTGCAGACATTATGAAAGCGCACCCGAGGCTCCCCAGGTCCAGACTTCAGTTCTCTTTCATCTTGTGAGGAGGACGGAGACTCTTCACGTGGACTTGGCTTTGGAAGCGCTTAAAGGAAACTTTGGGGTTTTTTTGTGTTTTGGGTTTTAAAAAAGAAAAACACAACCCTTTTCTCTCCCCAAAATCTATATATATATGTATTTACTTTTTAAAGATTCATATGAAATTATTTTGGACAGTGTTTATCAGATCCTAAATTTGATATATCAGATGGTGTGTGTGTGTACATGTACATATACATATATATATGAGAGATTTTTTTGAGCACTTGTATATAATAAAAATCATTTTATGATTTTCTAAGAAAGTGCCTAATCTGACTGGGTTGCTGGTGAGTGTCTGGTCATCCAGTTGGTGGTCTGCAAACAGCCAAAATAAAGAAATTGAAGGAACTGAAGAGGGAAGCCATGCCAATCACTAATGTCCTCTTGCCTCTTTTCTCCCACTCCTAAGGAACAGGACAGAACTAACTTGTGCTTTTGTCAGCTGGCACTCTCACATTCCTGCAGTCTGTACTTCTTCCTAATGATCTCCTTTTTCTTTGCTGCTGAGAACCGGGTTGCCTGATTTTGGTTTTACTCAGGGGTGACAAGCAGTGTTTCCTGTCACTGGTACACGACCTCTTGAAGACAACAGCTGAACTGTGGTACAATCACTGAGAAGAGGCATGGAGCTGCTCACTTTTTGGCTGGCCATTGACAATCAGTTTTTGTGTGATTATACCTTTGTTCTTTATCACAGAGAATCATTGCTCGGCACAAGACAGCCTCATTGCTGCTGTGCCACAGATCTCCTCCCTGTTCTCTTCTGCTTGTGCTCTGCAGTGGAGCTTAATGCAAAGGGAGAACAGCTTTGAAGTTGTGTTGAGTATCTTGGGATCGCTGGTCTGTTTGACAGTCTGCAGTTGTTAGTCAAAGGGAAATCCTTAAGCAGGAGGAGTGCCCTTGAGGCTGAAGTGTGTGATTCCACTGTAGCTGTGCACCGCCCTGTATGTATTTCACTGGTCATTTTTTAATTTGCCCTACCAAAGTAGCAAGGACTTGGAATCCATAATTACTGAAATGCTGCTGCTAGTGTGGGAAATAACTGTGCAGTGAGAAGGACCCAGGAGCACAAATGTGACAAAAGTTTCAGCAGCTTGTAGAAAAGGCTTGAGTCTAATGTAATTTATTTTCAGCGCTTTTTTCCAGCTTTTTGTCATCACAGTTGCCTTAGCAAAACCTGGTCCTACCATTTCATTGTCATATGAATTGTATGCTTATGGCAGGAGTGACTTCGGATGACTAGAACTGGAAGTGTACACATGTTTATTGGGAGGGGTTGTAGTCCCATGGTGGTACACCAACTCTAAATGCAAAAGGTCCTGAGTTCATTCCCAGGCATCTCCAGTTTAAGCAGGTGTTGGGAAAGGTTCTTCTGTTCCTGAGCCCCTGAAGCAACTGCCCATCATAAACAGGCAATACAGAGTGACCAATAGCTTGGCTGATGAAACAGTCATATGTTAATGATAATAAATATTTTAAAGAATATTGTAAGCCACCTTGAGCTCTGTAAGAAAGGTGGCTAATATTTATTTTAAATAAATGTTTGCAGAGATGGCAATGACTCCAGTTTCCTCTCATAGAATGAGGAACTGAGCCAGAAATACAATGGAAGAAGCCCGCAAAGCAGTACTTCCAAACGCTAAAAATAAATCTAGCCTTAATTATGTGTGCAGCTTTTTTTGCACATGGGAGCAAATGCTTTGTAGCTGTTGTGCTTTGCCCATAGCCTCTCCAGAGAGGGGAACTGGAGACACAGCTTACAATTACAGGCACTGAGAGCTGAAATGTGTAATTAAAGTGACCCTCTATACTTGGCCAACTCAAGATGGCTGGGTTTTTTTCCTAAGCAGGTAAGATCTTGATGCAGTTCTGTGTTCTATTTTATGACTGGTTATAGGAAGGCTGGTTATTTAAAAATGTATGTCATTTAACCAGGCCTGTTAGGTTTTCACTTATACAAGGTAGTTCTCAAAACTGGCTTTGCCATATCTCTCAAGGTATACTGCCATGTTCAGCTGCCTCTTTACATCTCAAATCATTTAAAATCTAAACGAGACTCAACAGTGCAGTGGTACTCGGTTTAACTCACAGAGAGCCACATTCACTATTACCATAACCCACATGTCTACAGTATGCACTGAGGGAAGGGGGGTCCCTCTGTACCTCCTTGGCACAAGGCACAGTAATACAGATGAGAGAGAATGCCAGTGTGCCTGGAGGGACAGCAAGTGAAGAAAGGAGAGTAAAACCATCAATCTCACTGTGGCCAGCTTGCTCTTTTCACAGGTGGCTACTTGGGTCTTGTTTCTGGCTGGCTCATTTCCCTCCCATTAGCCACCTGGGTACTGGAATTAGTGAATATAGAGATGAAGGATGTGCTGGAGAGGACAGGCCCTTCTAACTCTGCCATGAGACTCACAACTTGCCAGTCCCTGCGAACAGTGGGAGTTTCAAAACCAGGCCCACTGGGTGATGGGATTGGTGCCACTTTGGAGAATGGTGTCCAGAACAGCTGTATGTGGCTCCTGAGCATCACTGCTCTGCACAGTCGCAAGAACTATCTATATATCTAATAGCCAAGTTGCCCCCGTGAGTGCGGATCGCTAAATCAGCGCTCCGGGGACACTTGGGGGGGGGAGGGGGAGGTTTGTGCACACGTGGGCCAGTCCCCACGTGTGCACAAAAATGCTAAACCTTGAAAAAATTTTTGGGGAGATGTTTAAATCCCCCCGAAAGTGCAAGACCGTTCCGTGCGCATGCGCACGGAACGCTTGGCAACCGAGGCTGCCGCCGCCGCCGCTTGAAAGGGAAGCGGCGAGCAGTGAGGGGGGCGAGTGGCGG